AGGAGACGACATCTTGCCCTAAAAATTAATATCTCAAACAGAAAATTAATAAGAAGAGCAGCATTCAAAAAGTATCTTGAGAATGACTTTTTTGCGCAATCAATTGGAAAGTAGTAACTGTAAGATTATTTTGAACTTCTACACCAAACATATAATTGTATATTATAGACTATTATAAAATACAGCCCAATTAAAGTGATCTAAATTATATTAACTAAAGTTTTGGACTAATTATTAATTAAGTTAAAGTTGTGGTCAGCATTGTATAGAAACCTAAAAGACCATGGTTCTTTTCTGTCATAGGTGGAAAAGATTACTAACTACTACATAAATGGTTGTGGTCCCGGTGAGTCTTTATGCCCTTAAAAACTGCTTTCCCATTTGACAGTTAAAAAGAATCAACGTTCTTACTACGATTAAAGAAATCATTTGGAAGATCAAACCAAATCTGAAGAGATTGTTTATCCAAAATGGATTCAGGTACGCTTCCGCATTAGTTTGGTTCTCGTTATTTGATATGGAGTGTTAGGCTAAAGGATTTAATCCAATAGTAACAACAAAAATCCTAGTACACATTCAAATGAGTACCTGATTCTCATACGAAAGTATCGGCACGGAAGGTACATTATTCACGGAACAAATATATTAACTGATTAATATCATTTTGGGACGAAAAGAGTAAAATAGAGATAGGCTCCACCAGTGACGGAACTACAGGGGGGTCAGGAGGGTCGATCGACCCCCCAGTTAGTCCGAGAAGCCCTTAGAATAGTTATTCTGATCAGCCGTCGGTGCTGTAATTATTTTTGGCCGACCCCCCGGTGGCGAGGGAAAGGATGCAACGAAGAAGAAGAGATTTGTTTATGCTCTCCTTTTTATTTGGGCTGATTTTTTTCTTAAAAAATGGCCTAATTTGTGTCAATTAAATATGGGTTATTTTAAAATGATAAAAGAAGATACAGCAAATTTACGTTTGGGCTTCGATGATTCAAGTTGCTATTCACCTACTTTTCATGTAGTAATAGTATTTTGACTATTTTTTTTAGGTCATTTTTTTTTCTTGGTTGAATTTAGGTGAATTATCAGAACACAATAGTGTTTCTTATGTTTTTTGCCTCTTCAGTATATATAAAAAATATTTTTAAAAAAATGACAGATTGAGCTTGACTTTTGAAACTCTGTCTCCTTTTATTTTATTTTTTAAACAAATATTTTATTTTTTTTTTATCAAAACAATTTCTTCTTATAGGAAAGAGTATGTCATGGTGAAGTGTATCTCTTTACAATTTTTTATTTATTTTTTGGTTGTTCAAACTCTAAAGCAAGCATGTATTTAGAATATGGGGTGAATGTTTTACAATATATATACAATTAGAATTACAAATGTTATTCTCTTTAAAGTATTTACTTTGTTGAACTGAACCAGTAAATTATAGTGAATTATTTTTTTTGAATTGAAAGGAATATTTTTTAAATAGGAATGCAGATCGTGTCTTATTATCAAGAGATGCGAGTTTGAATAAACCTCTACAGGCGCTATGTATCGTGAACTACATAAAAAGTCGACCCTCCAACACGAATTTTCTGGTTCCGTCACTGGGCTCCACCTTGCGAGAGGTTGAAGTTGAATCCACAAAGAGAGAAACACGCAGCGGGACGGTAGTCCTCTTTCTCATATTCATGGTGCGGTCGTTGTTGTTCTTGGTTGGAGCCATTCGAGGAGGAGATGAAAGGAAGGGTTTCAGTTGTTTTTCTCTTTTTTTCTTTTATTTTGGCTTCCAGCTCCAAAATAGAAACGGATTTTCTGAATGATTTTTTGTATCAATGAAACTATGAAATCAACATGTCATTTAGGATAAGTATATATAACTCATTTTTTAAAATTTAAATGATTACTTCCGGTTCGTTTTTTTTGTTAAGGTTGATGGAGGAAACTATTTTAATACCGTATCCTACCGTTACCACATTCCATACAAAAATATATAATAATAATTTATGAAAGTAATGAATTAACCCCAAAATTCATACACTATTGTGTCAAAATGCCACCAAAAGTGACATTGGAGATCTTTAACAAATTAAGAATTGTACACTTATACATGATCATCTGATTATACCATAATCCACAAATAAATTATAAATCAAATTTCAATTTATGTTTCGGATTTCAAATCTTTTATTATTAAATAATGTGACAATATACTTGTTCACTTTTAATTCATTTGAAATTTATTGTTTTTAAAAAGTTTATTCTCATTCCTATCCCTATTTTATCGTTAATTTGTTACTCCCTCCATTCCAGAATAAGGGTCATCCTATACTTTGCACATAGTTTAAGAAACTCTTAAATAGGGTAATAAAATTATTCGAATATCCTCAACCAATCCTATTAAAAAAATGTCCACCGATAGTATTAATTTTTTTAGGGTAATTTTGGATACTTTGGACAAAAAGTGTATTGAAATTTGAGAACGACAATTATTTTGAAATTTCTCTATTTTACTAAAACGACATTTATTTTGGAACAGAGAGAGTACAAGAAACACAATGATGGTCAAATGGTAACCATGTCATTGTCATCGCTATATTCAACAACTGTAGAAACACTTTCTTTTTTTATTAGTACACAGTGTCAAATTTTTTACTCTGACTAATTCAAATTCGAATCATGTAAATCTTTTTTAGGATAACTCTCACAACAATTATTTTAGTCGCTGTAAAAACACAAAGTATACAACACATTAATTTCATTTTCATCTAACGAATGAATGAAAACATTTCATCACAGGACAGGAAATCCAAAATTCCGTGATCTCTCTTTATCCGCTAAAGATAACACATTGTACACTCTTGATATTAATAATACGGTTTTAGTTTAATAAAATCAACAATATATATAGAACATAAGAAATACTGTATGGTATAAGTTACTCCCTTTGTCTCAAAATTATTATCCAGTTTGATGTTTCATTTTCAGTACAAATTGTATTAAAATTAAAATTTCAAACTGGACAATAATTTTGAAACGGAGGGAGTACAAAATAATTATGAACGTTTAACTTATGTATGAAAACACACACAAATGCCTTCAACGAAGGGTTTTTTTTTTTTTTTTTTTAAGAAGGCCTTGACCTTCAACAAAGGTTCTTGCGTGAGTTCGGATAGTTTCATGTTGGGGTTTTCTTCTTTATTCGTTTTCAGTCAAAGCATTTTACCAAAAAGGAGATGACAATCAAATTACTACTTGCAATGAAGGCATTATCTTCAAACTGGACATGTGTCGTCCTTTTACTGCAAGGGAGGAGATAAGGAGGAAAAGAGGAAGGGGAAAAAGCCATGGGAATTGTTCCATTGATGATGCAATTGCAGGAGGTGAATGTAAATTCCCCATAAAAGGGAGAGGTAAAGAAATACTATAGGACAATTGAAAAAAGGAGTGGATAATCATATTAAAAAACTGGGAAGCAGAAGAAGCATTTGAACTAGTTCCAAGATTTTTTCTGTCTTGATGTGCGATATTTACTATGAAGCAACTGCCCCGGTAAACTGAAGGTGGAAACAAAGGTCACTTTTTCTGGTAACTCCTTCGTTGTAAGATTAGATTTTTTTTTATTATTATCATTATATTATTATTAGATTAAAATTAAAATTCTCTAATCTCGACGAAACGGAGAGAGTGACAGAGGAGAGAGTTACATTTTCTTCTGTATTTTCTTCTTCCTAACACTCCTATTTTTACATTTTTCTATCTTACTAATTATTTTGTATCAATTGAAAAGATAGAATTTCACTTTAGCATATACTAAAATGATTAGGAGACTCAGTTACAGTTTGACTCGCTTATTGCGACTGTAATTATGGAATAAAATTTATGCTTCAATATGGAAACTTTTATATTACTGCATTCTTTTCTTTTTTAAAAAAAGAATAACATAAAATTGGTATTTATCATCTCAATAACCCGAAGGAATAAAAATAAATCAAGATCATACCAATTGTTAAGAGAACTTTGCAATTAGATAGAATTTTATCCGAATCAAATGTGGATTAGTCAGAACGTGAAATAGAACTCTATTCGAATCGAATATGGATTAGTCTGAATGTAGTATAGATATCGTTTATTGCTTGGGTCAATTCTCTTGAATTCAATAAATTGAATAAAACCAAAACCTTCATCCAATAGAAAATTGCCCGACTATTTATGTTCCACCAAACCTTTATAAGGCCCAAAGCCGCCCAAAACTCTGTGTTCATCACTCTCTTTTCTCTAATTCCAATCCGTCAAACCCAAAATCAACAACCACAGCTCTGCTTTTTTTAAAAGCAGCAAGATCCATGAAATTTTCACGTTTTTCACAACTTGAATTAACCTCGTCAAATTGAATTAGACAGGTCGGTGTTTTCCCGTTCAAATGATTCCACAACAACAGATCAAATACTAACACACATAGACAGCCGTAAATTCCGAAAAAATTTCATGGGAAATACTTTCCACACTTTACAGAGTCCATTTCTGAAAACTTAATTCCGACACACAATTTCTCTAACCTACGAAGAAGGAATACAACAAGAGGAGGAGGTATAGAAGGGGAAAAAAAAAAAAGGAGCCCGGCAGGGGAAGCGGCCTCCTCTCCGTCCGTCCGGTCGTCGGCGATGATGATTCTGATGCAACAAGCAAGGTATTACCTTTCAGAACATCCATCAATTGTGGGATTCCGGTGGAACAACACCGAGTCATTATGGGGTTCCACGTGGTCTTTCCTCTTCACCTCAATCGCCGCCTACGTCGTCCTCTCCCTCTTCCTCCACCTCTTCCTCAACCTCCTCCTCTTCCGCCGTAACCACCGCCCTCTTCCCCTGGGCCCACTCCCCGCCCTCCATTCCCTCTCCATGGCCCTCATCTCCGCCACCATCTTCGCCGGCATCCTCCTCTCCGCCGCCGCCGAGATCCGAGACACCCGCTGGTTCTGGCGCCGCACCAAGACCACCACGCCGTTCCAATGGCTCCTCTGTTTTCCTCTGGGCACGCGCCCATCCGGGCGCGTCTTCTTCTGGTCCTACATTTATTACCTCTCCCGATTCCTCCACACTCTCCGCACGTTTTTCACCATCCTCCGCCGGAGAAAGCTCTCGATGTTCCAGCTCTTCAACCACTCCATACTAATCTTCGCTTCCTTCTTGTGGCTGGAGTTTTCCCAATCGTTTCAAGTCCTGGCAATCCTCCTCACAACTTCCATATACGCCGTCGTTTACGGGTACCGATTCTGGACCGCAATTGGGTTGCCCAGTGCTTGTTTTCCGTTCGTCGTGAATTGCCAGATTGTGCTATTGGGCTGCAATTTGGTCTGCCATATCGGGGTTCTGTCGCTGCATTTGATCAAGGGTGGATGCAACGGAATTGGGGCGTGGATTTTTAACTCGGTTCTCAACGGAGCAATTCTTTTTCTGTCGTTGAATTTCTACGTGAAAATGCTTAGTCAGAGCAAGGACAGCAAAAGGGCCGCCGGCGCCGGCGCCGGGATTGGGAAAAAGACTGACACTTTGGAATGATTTCCGATAAGTAAAAAAATTTGTCAGCTGTTTTTTTCCAATTCCTTTCTCTGGTTTTTCTACCCTTTTACTCTGTAGTAGTATTAGTGTTATTTATTCCATAAGGTAAAATCGAAGGGGGTTCAAGTTAGTCCCTTTCTTTTATTGTATTCTATTATTATATTGGGTATATAAAATTGTCTATAATAAATAAAGGATGATGCTTGGAGATTATTTCCATTTTGGTGGGAACAGAGTGGATTCAATTTTGCTGTAATGCTTAACTCTTAAGCCGGATTTGAATTTTGTCACTCAAATCTTGCTGGGTTTTAAGAAGTCAATTATGGCTGCTCTAATCACTATTTACTACTGTATGGAAGAATGATTGGCTTCTTTTCCTCTGAAGCTTGAACAACTTTCTGGTAAAACTTGTCTAAGTAGATTTCTAAAGATATGGAAAGGTAAAATTACCGATTTGGTTGTTAATTGGTCAATTTATTTACAACATATATGCAAAAAAAAAAAAGAAAAAAAAAAGGGATTTGTTAGTAACCTCAAATCTATCAACTAGTTTGCACTTTTTGCAAATTGCAGATATCAATCATCTATCAGTTCAAGTGTTTGTTCAATGACTTTTTACCATTTTCCTTGCTCACTATCACCCCTTTTTGTTAGATCTTTTATAGGCCAGTTTAGATCATGCAAATTTTGTGGTGCATAATTAATCGTTGGGAGTTCTTTCGCTCTTTCATGTTGAAATTGATGCGGACGAAATTGGCTCTACCTTAGTTATATATGGGTTCGACAAATATGCAATCATGTGAAAGAAATGGTAAGAAGGCGCATTTAAAACCGGTTCTTATAGTTAGAAAACGACACTTCTGTTTTGTTCTTTGGAGAAAGTATGATTTCATGGGGTTTCCTTGGTCTATTCACTAATTTTTTTTTTTTTTTTAGGGAGATGTCTCTTTCTCGGCTGGCTTGGGAAAGGACAGGTTCATTTCGTGTTTCTTGTGAATATTCGCTTAGAGGAAATTATACTATACAAGTCTTTTTCAATTAGCTCAATGGTTTAGTTCTTCTCCTTGAATGATTAAGCTCTCTTTTTAGTTCCACTTGCTCTGGCCTTGGTGCAAATTTTGGTAGCAAGTTGAATCAGGCAGTTGTATGTAATTTTTGCTACTGATTGTCTAATTTATGTTGTTTTTGGATTCTTAAAACTTTCAATAGTTGATTGATCTCATGATGAAACGAAGAGCACCAATCCGAAGCTTCCGTCTTGAATGTTGATAGTGTGTCATACTCTCAGTAGTTTGATTGTACTCAATGCCTTATCTCATATCAAACAAAACTATTTATTATACAATTTTTTGTAATTACGAATTATAATTTATGAAAGGACAAATGCACGTTTTGATCCATAATGTATTGGGGGTAGCCTATTCCAGTCACCAAAAAGTTTTTACTACCTATTTTAGTCCATTAATTCTTTTTTTTCCCGATTTTGGTCTTTCAACAAGTTTTTTGTTGTAATTAATGAAAAATTTGACCTCTCCGTTAAGTCCTGAATTTTTTATTCATTTCCGGGTGGGTCCCACATTTATTGATCCTGAAAAAAAAATTAAAAATTTCAGAGCCTTAATTAGGGGTTTTATAGCTCCGGCCGCTGCAAAAATTTCATTTCCTCAGATGGTGGTGGTGGTGGTGGCGGCGGGTTTGGGGGCGAGTGCTGCTGTGCTGCGCCGGCGCCGGCGCCGGCAGCCAGTATTTCGAGTTTTCATCTTCTGTTTGATGAGTATTAAACTTACCAACGAAAAAATGCATAGAAAAGAAACAGAGTGGCGGTGAATGGCGATGATGGAGATCATTTCCTCATCGATGGTGGTGGTGGTGACCCTGGATCAAGCCATTGATTGAGATCATTTCCTCCGGCGATTCACAGCTGCAGGAGTACGGCGTCACCGCGATTTTGAATCTCTCATCCTGTGACGAGAACAAAGATGCGATTGTGGCAGAGCTTGTATTGCTCTGAAATTTGGGACTTCTATGGCGAAAGAGAACGCCGCGTGCTGGAAATGAAATTTTTGCGGCGGCCGAAGCTATAAAACCCCTAATTAAGGCTCTGAAATTTTTATTTTTTTTAGCAGGGTCAACAAATATGGGACCCACTAGGAAATGAATAAAAAATTCAGAGCTTAACGGAGAGGTCAAATTTTCCGTCAATTACAACAAAAAATTTGTTAAAATACCAAAATCAGACAAAAAAAAGTATTAAAAAACTAAAATCGATAATGAAAACTTTTTAATGACTAGGTTAGGCTACCATCAATACATTAGAGACCACAACCTGCATTCGTCCTTAATGAAATTATGATAATTGTAACAACTTTCAATTAGTTGCCAACTGAGCAGACAATACAAAATAGAACTGAATCTTCTATAGGTTAAAAGCTAGCTTGAGTTAAAGTATACTGTTGCAACAGTAGTCCGCAACATCATAGCATCTTCGCAAATGCTTAGCATGAGAAGTAGTAGTCAACATAAGGATGGATCCCTTTCCGAAGCAGCAGGCATCTAATGCTTAGCGAATGCATTTTAGAGAATCACGGTATTGAAAATGTTTTCTGTGATAATCTAAAATATTATTCCTTCTCATTTCCCTGAAACTCGTGCCCTATAAATAAGATCGGAAGAAATACAGTGAATATAGAGTAATCTACACTTTACATATAATTTTAAGAAATTTTTAAATAAGGTAATAAAATTACTTAAATATCCTCAATTAATTCTATTAAAAAATGTCCACCAATATTAATTCTTTTGAGGGTAATTTTGAAAACTTTAGAAAAAAGTGCATTGAAATATGAGAACAAACACTTATTTTAAAATTTCTCCATTTTGCTAAAATAACACTTATTTTGGAACGAATATCTATCCATCCATTGAAAACGAGATCCTTATCAGTGTTTCATTTCACCGGAAAACTAAGGAAGTTTACGCAGTTTCCTTCCAGATTGCATTACAATTTCCAATCAACGTGAATTATCCTTTGCTTATCTCGGAAGTTGTCTCTAAATGTTTCTTTATTAAGATCACGCTGCCCAACTTAAAGTAGAGAGTTGAATTCAAATATTCGAACTGCAGGAGTAGGCTTGGACATCATATGAGTTGTAAAGCAGTAGTTATTAGTGTCATATATATGTATATTGTTTATAAAGATAAAAGTCCAGATTTCACCAACTGTAAATATGTAACACTCAAAATTTTTTGCCCTTAGTCGGCATCTAAACTGATCGGAAAAATTTTTTGGGTTTGAGACGTTCATCTGTTCCATTCATCGAAACTAAAAGACAGAGATGTAGAAAATGCGAATCAAAATGTCACTTGAATCTTCGATAACTCTAGCTTCTTTTCTTTTACTATTAGAGCGCGGATGTTGGCAATTTTTTATTTTTTTAAAATTTGAATTGTCGAAGTGAGAAAATCGGATATCAATCTCGCAATAATAATCATTTTGTCTAAACTCATTCACACTCAATCTACTGGTGTATTGTTGAGTATCCCACATCTGTGGTATGAGAGATTTGATATTAATATATAAGATTATGGACTACTCTATTCATCACCAATTGGTTTTGAGGTGAAATCCTATGGGCTTTTATATGATATCAGAGCCAGCTCGCCAAGAGTCGGACTCCAAGCATGATGTGATAGAACTGGTAGGGCTGAGGTGTGAGGCGGTGACTACACTGAAAAAAGTTAAAATATACAAGCCTAACCAAGAAGAAGCGTTGGGCTTGGGGGGAGGGGGAGTGTTGAGTATCCCATATCGGTGATGGGAGAAACTTGGTATCAATATATAAGTCTATAAACTACTCTCCTCATTACCAATTGATTTTGAAGTGTAATCTCATGGGCTTCTATATGTACAACGTCTTAATTTTATAATCAGACCTCTTAGTTATGAGTTCCAAAAGGACAACTGAAAACTGTGACAATGATGATAAAATCTAGGCCCAAAAGTCCAAAACAAAAGCAAAAGGATCCATAACAACCATAGCTAGAAGCTTAGAACTCCATCCATTCTAAAATGATTATTCAGTTTGAATTTCTCTTTTCAGCATAATTTTACATTAAAAAAATTAAAATTTTAATTAGATAATTTGAAAATTTTAATTAGATAATCATTTCAAAACGGAAAGAATATTATTTTAATTAGATAATCATTTCAAAACGGAGAGAATATTTTCTACTGTAACTTTTTCTCCTATGTTTTAACTAATTAGATTGTTGAAATGTGTTATGTGTAGGATTACGAATCATTATTCACTCCTTGAAATTATTACTCTCTTTTATTAAGAGCAGTCACTTATTAATACAGTATGTATAGATTGGATCAGTTGGTTCTCCTGAAACATGGACTCGCGTAATGAGCCCATCAAAGTTATCCCCAGTTATACAAATTTGGTAGCCTGTGGCCCTGTCGTAACAGATTCGGTCCTGAAGATTTCAAAATGAAGGAAAATAGAGATTAAATGATGGTCCAATATGTAGGACATAACAGACAGGAAAGTCCAATGTCTTTTATTTTTTGTGGATAGTCTAGCTGAACGAAGGTTGTGGTGGAGTAATAAGGATTCCTCCACTCTTAACTATAGGTCGAGAGTTCGAATCTCGTTACGGGTATGGAGCAGCTCTCCCACTCATCGAAGTGTCTACCATGAACGAGCGGAAAAGAAAATTAGTCACTGTTGCCAACAGTGGACACCTGCAGTATACACAAAATAAAAAGTGCCTACCAAAATAGTGTCTACCATGAGCGCGAGAGATTAATCGTTGTTGTCGACGGTGAACACCTTACAATATGAAAAAATAAAAATAAAAAAAT